TCACGCCTATAATCCCAGCACTTTGGGAAGCTGAGGTGAGAGGATTGCCTGAGCTCACGGGTTTGAGGAAAGTGTAGTGAATGGTTGGGATCTACTAGATGATAATAAATCACAAACACTAGCCAGGCACAGTGACATGCGTCTGTAGTTCCAGTTACTTTGAAGGCTGAGGTGGAAGGATCACCTAAGCCCAGCAGGTCGAGGCTGTGGTGGCCACGAGCATACCATTGCACTCCAGTCTGGGCGACAAGAGTCAGACTCCAAAAAAAACAAAACAAAACGCTGCAGACACCATTTAGTTGCTATCAATAAGAAATTTACTTGCTTTTTAAAAATCCAAATGCTAGAGCCAGGTTCGGTGGCTCAGCCTGTAATCCTGCACCTTTGGGAGCCCGCGGGTTCGAGACCCGCCTGGACAGCGAGACCTCATCTCTACAGTAAATCAAAAAATCAGCTGGGCGTGGTAGCGCATGCCTGTAATTCTGGCTGCTTGGAAGGCTGAGGTGGAAGGCTTGCCAGAGCCCAGCAGGTCGAGGCTGCGGTGGCCGGGAGCAGCCACTGCACTCCAGTCTGGGCGACAGAGTGAGACTCCAACTCAAAAAATAAAAATAAAAATAAATAAAAATCCAAATGCTGGCATTGTCCAGAAAAACTGAACAGGTTTATTTATAATTGCTATAAAGTTGAACCACTGAAACACTTTGATTTGCATTAATGCTTTATATCTCCGCTTTATATTAAAAATTCACACACAAATGAAAATGGAAAAACTGCCAGTACCTGATTTCTGTCCCCTATTTTTCCACTCACAATCGTATACTTAGGTACCTTTTGACCCCGTTGGGTCAAACAAACAAACCAGACTTTCAGAACTACCAATAACAGGAAGAAAAAAAAAACCAAACCAGACTTTAAGATCTACCAATAACAGGAAGAAAAAAATGTTTTTTGAGAATGAAATCCCATCAGTAGTGTATTTAAGCACGTTCTCCATGTATGCAGCATGCTAGCTGGATGTCTTTTGGCATAATTGTTACATAGTTGGCATGGATAGCACACAGGTTGGTGTGGTGTCTTCACAAAAGCCAGCCAGATAGGCCTCACTTGCCTCCTGCAAACACCAATAGCTGTGCTGTGGAAGCACAGATCTGTTTTGAAGCCCTGAGTAATTTCTCGCATAAGACGCTGGAAAGGAAGTTTGCAAATCAGTTCAGTGGACTTTTGATAACATCTAATTTCACAGAGTGCCACAGTACCAGGCCTGTAACGATGAGGTTTCTTTACTCCTCCAGTAGAAGGCGCACTCTTGCAAGTGGCTTTTGTAGCCAGTTACTTCCTGGGTGCTTTACCACCAGTCAATTTGCTAGCAGTCTGTTTGTACAAGCCATGGTATAGCGACTTCCTTACTTACCCCCTTCTCCTTTGGCTGGAATTCGGTGAGCTAGAAGCGGCGCTGGTGTTGGAGAGCAATGGTAGGGTGGCAGGGCTGCAAATACCTTGTCAGTTGTTAATCTCATAACTCTTATTTAATTAATTAATGTTATGAAAATTAAAATGTAGCCATTATGGTGATAACCTTTTTACTGTCTCTTAATATTGATCCTTAAAGGAAACAGACTTCATAGAAAACAGCTGCAAAGCCTGTGGCAGCACTGAAGATGGCAATAGTTGTGTAGAAGTAATTGTTACCAATGAAAATACATCATGTACCTGTCCTAGCAGTGGCAATCTTTTGGGGTCTCCTAAGATAAAAAAAGGTAAGCAAATTATTTCTTTTCAAAGTTAACTCTTAGTGCTATCCTTTCTTACTTTTAAATGTAAGAGCTTTTAGAAATCCTGGAATCTAGAAAATTTTTGTTGTTGTTGAAGTCTTACTCTGTCGCCCAGGCTGAAGTGCAATGGCATGCTCACGGCCACCACAGCCTCGACCTGCCGGGTTCAGGTGGTCCTTCCACCTCAGCCTTCCAAGTAACGAACCACAGGCATGCACCACACCAGGCTAATTTTTTTATTTATTGTAGAGACATGGTCTAGCCAAGTTGCCCAGGCTGGTCTCATACCCTTGAACTTAGGCAATCCTCTCGCCTCCACCTCCCAAAGTGCTGGGATTATAGGCGTGAGCCACCGTGCCCAGCTTGGTTTTTTTGTTGTTTTTTTGAGTCGAATCTAGAACTTAAAAACTATTTTAAAGCTCTAAGAATATCATATAATTTAGTCAGATACTTAATGTGTCTCTTTATGTTCTGTGACTTGTTATTTTTTGACAAACAAAAAATGGTCAATTTCACATCATATTGTCATTTAATTTACTTTCTACTTTCAATAAGCTATTATGAAATGCTTCTGTAGTCCCCAGTTGGCTCACTTTTTGTCCTAATATATTTATTGTTATATTATTTATAATTCTCACCTGATTTATTCTCAGGCTTATCTCCACACTGTAATGGTAGTGACTGTGGATATTCATCTAGTATGGAAGGGAGTGAAACAGGTTCTCGAGAGGGTTCAGATGTTGCCTGCACTGAAGGCATTTGTAATCATGATGAACACGGTAGGTTCAGATAAGCTTCCCAATTATTTCTACTACATGGCTGATTTAAGAGCATAAATAAGGATTACTGATTTCTGCAGGTGATGACTCCTGTGTTCATCATTGTGAGGATAAAGAAGATGATGGTGATAGTTGTGTTGAATGTTGGGCAAATTCTGAAGAGAACAACACAAAAGGAAAAAATAAAAAGAAGAAAAAGAAAAGCAAGATGTTGAAATGTGATGAACATGTAAGTGCCATAACATAATTCTTTTTTTTGAGTTGGAGTCTCACTCAGTCACCCAGACTGGAGAGGGCAGTGGCCGCTCCCGGCCACCGCAGCCTCCACCTGCTAGGTTCCAGCGATCCTCCGCCTCAGCCTTCTAAGTACCTGGAACTACAGGCGCGTGCTACCATGCCCGGCTAATTTTTTTGATTTATTGTAGAGATGAGGTCTCGCCAAGTTGCCCAGGAGGGTCTTGAACTCTGGGGCTCAGGCCATCCACTCACCTCGGCCTCCCAAAGTGCTGGGATTACAGGCTGAGCCACCGAGCCCGGCACATAATTCTTAAACCTTTGCTTTTGAGTGCGAACAACCTGTTTTCCTTGGAGTGACATAAGTGCAGCTTAGCTGCTAGGATTTACTTTTTTTAGAATGAGTACTTTATACAGTTCCATTGGTTGCTTATCTTGTGATTTTGTGAAAGTGAGAGTGTGTGTGTGGAAGAAAGACAGAGACAGAATGTGGTCATCTGTCCAAAGTGATACTTTTTCATTTATTAGCTATGTAATCTTCTTAGTTTCCCATTTGTAAAATGGGGATAATAGTCTCTATTATTGGGTCCTGTGAATGTTAAGTGAAGGTATAAATATATTGGCAGGTTGGCATGGTGTCTAGTACGTAGTAAGTGCCTACTGCCAGCTGCAGCTATTACTCAGTATTCCTTTGAAAGGTGTAACATACTTTCAGGACATTTTCTTTAAAGAATAGTTGTTATCATTCCCTGCCTTTTTACCTGTGAAGTCCTTTGTTGTGGTTTCAGATCCAAAAGCTTGGAAGCTGTATTACAGATCCAGGTAATCGAGAGACCTCAGGAAATACCGTGCACACAGTGTTTCACCGCGACAAGACCAAAGATGCACATCCTGAAAGCTGTTGCAGCTCTGAAAAGGGTGGGCAGCCACTGCCTTGGTTTGAGCATAGGAAAAATGTAGCAGAACCTACAGAAACGTCATTTGGTCCTGATTCCGGAAAAGGTGCCAAGAGCTTAGTTGAACTCCTTGTAAGTATTCCATTAGATCTTTATTGTAGACAACTGCTCCTGCATAGGGTATATTAGGGTCCTAATGGAAACAAATCTTTTGGAATAATAAGGGTTTTTTGTTTTGTTTTGTATGTGTGTGGGAGGTGGTATAAAGGTTAATGGTGATATTGTATAACTTAAAGTTATTTTTTATGTAGTTTGTAGAGAGGAGAGTTTCAACATAGAAACAGTTAGAGATAAATCTGCTTGGTAACTAGTTGTAACCATCTCTAATTAGTTGCTTTTTAAGACCATGGTATGATAGTCTTATAGGCTCATTCGTTTTTAGGATAAATTACAGATTCAGGGTTTCAAACCAGGTTGTGTTGGATTTTTTTTTTTTTGGAGTCTCACTCTGTCACCCAGGCTGGAGTGCAGTGGCACGCTCACGGCCACCCCAGCGTCAACCTGCTGGGCTCAGGCGATCCTTCCACCTCAGCCTTCCAAGCCGGAACTACAGGCGCATGCTATCATGCCCAACTAAGTTTATGATTTATTGTTGAGATGAGGTCTCGCCAAGTTGCCCAGGCTATCCTCAAACCCGTGGGCTCTGGCAATCTGCTCACCTTGGCCTCCCAAAGGGCTGGGATTGTAGGCTTGAGCCACCACGCCCAGCCTGTATTGGATTTTATTCTCACTTAATACTTTCCAAGACAGAATGACATAATACTTATTCTGTAAACACTCCAGTTAAAGGCTCTATATAACAGACTTAAAACTAAAAAGCTAGACTACTTTGATTTTTAGCTGTCCTTCATCAGCATGGCATTTTGCATCCTTAATTTAAGTCATAGTCGTAACTTCTGCTTTAATTTGCAGGATGAGTCTGAATGTACTTCAGATGAGGAAATCTTTATCTCACAAGATGAAATACAGTCATTTATGGCTAACAACCAGTCTTTCTACAGCAATAGAGAACAATACCGACAGCATCTGAAGGAGAAATTTAATAAATACTGCCGCTTAAATGATCACAAGAGGCCCATTTGTAGTGGCTGGTTGACAACGGCTGGAGCAAATTAAATAAATAAAATAGCTCTGTCTTTCAGTGAAACACTCAAGATGACTACTGCGCCTTCTCTTAATTTAGTGACTTACGGCAAAATTTTATCTTAAATCAATGTGATTCTTTCTTGTTTTGGGAGACGGTGGAGGTGTCCTCATTAGTTTGTTCTTTCTTCAGGCTTGTGTCTTTAGTTGCGTGGCTGCGCAGGCCTGCCATATGATTTAAGCCATCTCTTTTCATTAAATGTTTCTCTTCCTGTGAGACTTACTAAAGCAACTTAGTGGCAAAAAGTATTGTTGTACTTATACTTCTGTACAGAAATGACAATGAGCTGAATATATGGTTTTACAAAGTAGACATCCACTTGCAAAATGTTTGGATGTAATGTTAAAGCGCAATGTGCAAAATTTAAAATAAAGAATATTTATTAATACGCACAGTAAAATTTGGTGTACATGTTTCTAGTTAATGTGTGGCAGTACTTTAGTATTTGCCACTTGTGGACTTGATTCTTGGCTGGTGTTGATATTAGAGAGGATGAAGAGCAAATGAGGATATACAAATTGTTGAAGATAGCATTCTTCCCTGATGAGAACTGACAATTGAGAAAAGCAGTTCCAATCTTGTTCTGAAAGAATAAATATGCTGCGATACCTTTCAATACTGGTTAGCATCTTACTTTCTCATGGTCCTTAATTGCTATAACTAACATTCTTTAATATACAACACAAAGCACCCCCTAAATTCAGAGGTTCATACTGCACTGAAAAATGAAAACAAAACTGCAGAATTTCAACCAAGGGATTGCCTGATAAGTAGTTACTCAGCATGTAAGATTGGACTCAGAAGGCTGCCTAAGAGCTAACCACATTTTGGTCCGTATAAGTGCATGTTCAGCCTTATCTGGTTTCTAATAATAAAGTCACTATGGCCTTTGAGTTTATTGCTGTCACAAGGTGCAAGTACTGAAGAAGGAGAGAGAATCCCCCAGGAGTAGCATTGTATTGCCATTTAAAAGATACAAATAGCTCAATAAACACATGTGCTTAGAGCTTTGTGTCTGTATGCTTATAATACTTGGTAGGCAGCAAGCGGTGGGACAGTCAGTACTTCTGTGCTGTGGGAATGGAGTGAATTTTATGGGCTTTTTTTTTTTTTGAGTTGAAGTCTCACTCTGTCACCTAGGCTGGAGTGCAGTGGCATGTTCACAGCCACTGCTGCCTCCACCTAGGTTCAGGCCATCCTTCTGCCTCAGGCTTCCAAGCGGCTGAAACTATAGGCGTGGGCGACCATGCCCAGCTAATTTTTTGATTTATTGTAGAGACAGGTCTCAACTGTAGAGACAAGTTGCCCAGGCTGGTCTCAAACCCTTGGGCTCAGGCAGTCCTCTTGCCTCTGTCTCCTAAAGTGCTGGGATTACAGGCATGAGCCACCGTGCCTGGCTTATGGGCTTTCTTTTAATCAGGCTTCTAATTAGATTTCAAGTGGGCAACAGAGGAAGCTTAGTGAGATTTAATTTTCATAGTTGGTGTCATTTCTCTAATCCACCTCCTGAGTTGTCTTTCAAATCTAAGTGTTGTGTAGGAATTGGGGCAGAGGTAAAATGAGACATGATTCCTCTCTGACCCTTGGCTTGCTTTCATCTTGGAATCCATAAAAAATGACTGTGGGACTTGCTTGGCCCTTGGCTCTGAGTTCACTACCTTCTTCACCACTGTAGTCAAGTGTTCTTTTGAGTTCCCTGAAAGCAAGGGCTGTTTTTGTTTTATCTTTGCCTTTGGGACCAAGCACAGGGTAGGCAAATGAGTGTGTGCTGAATGAGTAAACCAGCCACATTCACTGCTTACTCCATTGCTTACTGGGAGTCCAGTGGTTATTCAGAGTTCAGCAGTTATGCAGAAATGCGTTTTCTTTAGAAGGATGGCTATACTAAGAATGCAACTGAGTGCCACGGCTCATGCCTATAATCCCAGCATTTTGGGAGGCCGAAGTAAGGATTGCCTGAGCCCATGGATTTCTAGAGCAGCCTGGGGAATTTGGCAAGACCTCATCTCAATAAATCAAAAAATTAGTTGGGCAGGGTGGTGCATGATAGTTCCAGCTACTTGGAAAGCTGAGGTGGAAGGATCACCTGAGCCCAGCAGGTCGAGGCTGTGGTGGCTGTGAGCATGCCACTGCACTCTAGCCTGGGCGACAGAGACTCTGACTCAAAAAAAAAATGCAGAAGTTCAGCACTTTGATGATACACCCTCAGTGACCAGAGAGCAAAGTGAGCTCCACTCGGAACAAAACAACTCAAGAAGAGAGAATGGAGTGAAGACAGATTAGGAGAACATCCCTGACCTATCATTGGACTGCCTGTTATCCAAACCATCCTTCACCTCTTTCTGAGTATACTCATCTTTAACATGAAGATGTCAATATATGTCTCACAGGGTGGTTGTGCATATTAGCTAATATGCTGGAGGTGCTTTAAAGTGCCTGGCACTCTAAGCAATAAATGCTAGCTATTGCTTGAATCTTTGGCATACTCTGTAATACATCTGCTACGGTGGGGTGGGGGTTGGGTCTAGGACTGTTGGAGACAGTTCTGTCATTTAGGGACAGAATCACCCAATACGTGTGTACTTGGGACTGTTTCCACTTCTAACCATTCAGTTCTCCGTGGCTAGTAAGGCCAAAAGATCAGATAGAGTGAATAAGAATCTCCTCCAAGGTCACCCAGCGTTGAAGGCGGAGACACTTGAACTTTTCTGGGCTGAATCCTTCCCATCAGCCACCGGCTGGTTTGGGGAAGGTATTGGAGTCAGTCCTCTTAAGCGCCCTTAGTTCCTCAACCTGGCCTTACGGGTCAGGAAGAGGGAAGGGAGACTAAGGACGTTGGAGTATGCGCCTTCGGGGTTAGAGCAAGCCCCCGCAAAATCTCGGTTTCCCTGCCCCATAGGGAAGAGCTCACCCGGCAAACAGGACCACAAGCTGCCAGACCTTCCGCGATGCCCCGGCGGCAGGAGATATGGGTTTTCCGCACAGGGGCGGGGGGAAGGGGCGGAGCCGTGTCCGCGCGGGCGCCGGGGCGGGGCGGACTCGCCGGGCGGTGGAGCGGAAGGGGCGGGGCCATGCCCGCGGGGGCGCCTGGGCGGGGCGAATGGGCTGCGGCTGTCCTACGGCTGGATGCGGTCGACCGCCGAGGACCGGAGGGTGGATCCCCGGCCGGAGGCAGGCCTGGATGGGGGTGGGCGGAGGCTCGGCTCGGACGCTAGCAGGTCTGTGGCGGGTGCCGCAGCGGTGACAAGAGAGCGGCCGAGCTTCTGCGACCCGGGGCGGGGCTCCGCGATCCAAGTGCCAGGCTCGCCCAGCGAAGCGGGCGGGAGGCTCGGGACCGTGGCCAGGGCCGGCATGGAGCGGTGGCGCGACCGGCTGGCGCTGGTGACGGGAGCTTCGGGGGGCATCGGCGCGGCCGTGGCCCGGGCTCTAGTCCAGCAGGGACTGAAGGTGGTGGGTTGTGCCCGTACCGTGGGCAACATCGAGGTGAGGCCCGGCCGGGGAGCGGGGACCTCCGGTAGGCGTCGTTTCCGCGGGGAAGACTCCGGTGGGGGAGGGGAGCGGCTGCCCCCCCTTGTCCGCCACACCAGGCCATCTGCCACGGGCTCCAGCAGGGGAGGCCTCCTGGTTCCCGTGAGTCAGGCTTCTCCCTTCTTTTAAGCCCCGTCTTTTAAGGAGCCGTTTTCTCCTGACGCGCCGGGCTCGTTACTGAATCTCTGGCCCCGGCATCTCCTTGCGCGCCCCTCGCGTCTGCCCAGCGTATTGGCCTCAGAAAAGGGTAGCCTGGGAGGAGGAGAGAAAGCTTTCTCGCCCCAGTGGCCAGGTTGGCTACAGGATTGCTTCCTCTGGCTTCCAGAACTCATCCATCGCACTGGGCAAAGTGGTTGGCCAACCAGATGGCGGGAGCTGGAGGTGTTGAAGTTTTGACCCAGGACAGGGTGGGGTTGGGGTGGGAGCGGAGCTCTACTGAAGGTACCTCTGAGGGTTAACCCCTACCCAGTGGGCATGAGGGGTGAGTGGAATATTCATTGGTAGACTTTCTTCCATTATCCCAGGTGACAGGATAGGTGAAATAGAACATTGAACATACAAACCCCGAGGGGACAAGGCAGTGTGGACCCAGAACTCCATATTTTTCTCTTCACATGGGGTTGGGAGCCCCTAGATTTTTGAGCTACAAGAGCTCAGAGAAAAATGAAATAAAGTTGGTCCTTTTGGAGCAGGGAGGAGGGAGACAAGAGAAATTTCTGTCATAGGTTATCTCTGGATTTGCCCTGGCAAGATGACTCAGAGTTTGGGCCAGTGCTTAGCTGTAGGACTTGATCTCCACCATCGCTCAAAGTCCTCGGGCAGGGGAAGGATAAGGAGGCCTTGGGTGGGGGGAGAGGGAGAAGGTGTCCAGGAAGGAGGACTGTCCCCTCCCTTGCTGCTGACCAAAGGTACACTTTATAACCTCTAAGATAATCCCAAGGTCATGTGGCTCCACCATCACCCCACTCTGCCCCCCACCCCCTTCTCCTGTTCTGAGGAGCTCAGGGCCCAGCCTCAGCCTTGGAGCCTAGAGGATCAGGCCAGGGATTAGACAACTGCATCCTCTAATTCTGAAGCCACTGTTGACTTCTTGCCTACTCCCCTACCCCAAGCTGGCCAGGAAAGAGGGATCTTGAGCCCCAAGGGGATCCCCAGGATCAGCCCCAGGATGACTCCATGTCATGAGACAATGCCCCTGCTGTGAGGGGACTGGCAAGATTTCAGGTCATTTTTGAGGGTGGGTAGGGAGACCAGGTGGCCCAGGTGGGTCAATGGGAAGGTAATGACCAGTGAAATATACTCTTAGCTCCTCTATTCTGGCTTTCCTGTGGAGGGGATTTTGAACCTGGAGGAGGTAGGAGAGGAGTCCAGGCTACCTTGGCACAGTCTGCTTTTTTTGGTTAATTGATTTGTTGATACTAAAATAGAGTTTGGGTTCTGGCTTCCTACAGAGAAAAATACTATTTCTTGAAGTGGCTATAAGAAGGTAGTCAGGTGAAGGGGGTTTCTGAGGCCCAGAGGACATACCTTTTGAACTCATAGAAAGTTAAAACAGGGAAGAATTTCTCACATCACCTGATCCAGCCCTCTATTCCTAGTTTGGTCTGGGAGGAGGAAGGGGCTCCAGGCCAAGCCTGCCTTCCCCTAGGCTACCCTGCACACCCTCCCCCACCACACTTGTGCACAGTCACCTTCACAAGGCCAAGTGCCCAGGCACTGGTCTCCAGGGCCACATAGCTTGCTTTCTTCCTGCTTCTGAATGTCAGCGTCCCTCACAGCCACCTCTCAGGAGCTCTGCTTTCTTGAGTCTTTCTCAGTATGCCAAGGGCCCTGGAGATGCACTGGGCGGAGAGAGGGGTGGCTTCCTGATGTCACCTGCTGCCTTACTTGCCTCATAGTCTCCCCTTGGGGCAGAGGATGGTGCACCAGGGGTCAGAAAGAGAAAGAATCTGTCCTGACTTCCTGACCCCTCCTATAGGTAAGAAGAGGGGAGATTGGCAGCTGGGCCTGCTTGAAAGGGAGACTCAGTTTGTGAGGGGAGGGTTTTTGTTCAGAGATATGCCTTCTGGGCAGGATTGGTTGGCATAATGCGGGAGGAGAGGGTCAAGGCCCTAGATTAAGCAGCTCAATGATTCTTGGCACTGATGGAAGAAGCATGAGGTGGTGGAGAGGTGTGTCTACCTATCGGCCGAGGAGGTGTTCAGGTTGGGGAAGAGGCAGAAAAGAGAGACCTCCATTCCCAGGGTCCCTGGCCCCTTGTCCTTCCTTAGAACTGAAGACTTGAGTTTACACAGAAGGTTCCTCCCTTTCCCCTTCCACACTCAGAGAGTGCTCTCATTCCTTGGACTTTGAACGGGGAGGGTAGGCACAGGGGCTGGGCAGCCCCACATCCATATGGCTGGGATGGGGAGGGGACTCTGGGCAAGGAGGTGTGGAGTGAGCAGCTCACCCAGTTAGATCCCTGTTGGGTTCCATAGGAGCTGGCTGCTGAATGTAAGAGTGCAGGCTACCCCGGGACTTTGATCCCCTACAGATGCGACCTGTCAAGTGAGGAGGACATTCTCTCCATGTTCTCGGCTGTCCGTTCTCAGTACAGTGGTGTGGACATCTGCATCAACAACGCTGGCTTGGCCCGGCCTGACACCCTGCTGTCAGGTAGCACCCGCGGTTGGAAGGACATGTTCAGTGTAAGAGCTCCTGGCCTGGGTGGGAGGAGGGAGCAGGGTTGGGGCCAGGGACTTGTGACAGGACATCTAGGAACAGGGAGCTTTAGGTTCCCACCTGGGGCATCTTACTCTCCCCTTGCTTCTTTCCTTACCACAGGGCTAGTGAGTGGAAGAACAGCCATGTCTTTTCAGCCCTTCTTTTCTTTGAGCCCCTGGAGATAGTTCTTAGAGTCTAGACTGATTTCCTTGTGTAGGAGTAAAGACTGGTAAGGAGAGAACTGCTGTTTTTTGTTTGTTTGTTTGTTTTTGGTTTTTGTTGTTTTGTTTTGTTTTTTTGAGTCAGGGTTTTATTCTGTCTCTCAGGCTGGAGTGCACTGGCATGATCACATCTCACCACAGCCTTGACCTCCCGGACTCAGGCTATCCTTCTGCCTCAGCCTCCTGAGTAGCTGGGACTACTGCACATGCCACCACACCCAGCTAATTTTAAAATTTTTTTGTGGAGATGAGGTTTCTCTGTGTTGCCCCGTCTAGTTTCGAACTCCTGCCTCAGCCTTCCAAAGTGCTAGGATTATAGGCATGAACCACAACACCTGGCCAGCTACTGCTTACTGAATGCCCCTTATGTGACAGCACTTTGCTGGGTGATTGCGCACATGTTCGTATGGGAAGAAAAGGAACAGAGAAACAAGAGAGGATGCCCTCACATAGCCCCACCAGTAACTATGTGACTTCTGGCAGATTAGATACCTTCTTTGAGCTTTAGTCTTATCATATTTAATTGGGATGAACACATCTACAGATCAATAACAGGGATCACAAACTCCAAAACCTTCTGGGGCCAGGTAGGTACATAAATGAATGAGGCAGGTCAGGTGGGGTCTGCAGTGTGTGGAAGAACAAACAGCCATGTAAGAGGCAGCCACTGCTCAAATTCAGCATGGTTGCTCTATGGCAGTTGTGAGCCCATTGTGGCCAGATCTTCCAATGTCTCTGAGAAGTGGGCAGTCTGTTTTTATGTGACACCCTACGTCTCCCACTCACTAAAACTTCAGGTCCATGAGGGCAAGGATTTTTGTCTGATTTATTCTCTAGTATAGCTCCATCTCATAATCACTCAACAGATATTTATTCAATGAACAAAACTTTCCAGTACATGTTAGAAAGATATTTAAAGTGTTTTAAAACCAGTACAAATCAGGTATGCAATCTCAGCACTTTGGGAGGCTAAGGTAGGAAGATGGCTTGAGACCAAGAGTTAAACACTAGCCTGGGCATCCTGTTTCTATGAAAAATAAAAAATTAGCTCGGTGTGATGGTGCATACCTGTAGTCTAGCTACTTGGGAGACTGAGGCAGGAGGATGCCTTGATTCCAGGAGTTCAAGGCTATAGTGAGTTATGAGCCCTGCACTTCAGCCTGAGCAACAAAGCAAGACCCTGTCTCAAAAGCAAAAAAACATGTACAGGCCAAATACAGTCTTCAGAACATGGGTTTTCCATTCTGGACTGTATTGTGGGATGACGTTAGGTGGGAAGGTCTTCTGAGAAGTCAAGCACGGTGTATAATCAGGTTGCTGCTTTTCCCCTTGGAATCCTATCACATCTGCTAACAGTAGGTTTAGCAACTAATAGATGCTAGGATCTGGAAATAAAGCAATGAAAATGAAGCCCTACTCTCAGAGAGATAGTGGTCCTCACCTGCAGCAAGTGGGTCTCTAAGCCTGGACTTCAACTTGCTGGTCTGTAAAATAAAGGACTTACATTAAGTCCCTAAGGCTCCTTTTAGCTCCAACATTACCTTTTAGGATCTTCCTTGTGAGACATTCTCTCTTTCTCCACTCCCACTCCCTAGACCTGGGAGATTTACTCACCAAGTCCCAGGGAATCCACTTTTACTCCATCTGCCCTCAGGAGCTGAGTTCTGTGCCCCACAAACCCACATTGCTAAGAGGATGAGAAACAGGGCTGGAAGCCTCCCTGTCCTGGTACCCATCTCTTCCTACTGCCTTGAACATAGGCTGGCTTAGCCAAGGGTGTTCTCATCCTCATGCCTGGCTCTGACACCCAATAAAGAACATCTGACCTCCTGTCAGTTACCTCTCTTCCCAAGAGTAGAGATGTGAAGACCTGCTGAAAGCTTTATCTCTTCTTGTCTTCATGGGGGAGGCTACAGGGTAGGGCTGAGCAGGCACTTGATAGAAGCCACCTCTTTAGGCCCCTGTTCTAGGAAGGGTGGCAGTTTGGGGTCACCTCTGCCAGAGGGAGTAGGAATGGCAAGTTATCCTACCCTCCAGAGTCCCTGTGCTGGTCTCAGATGGAACACAGGTTAAAGGAAGGCACACAAGGAGGAGTCAGGCCTTCTGTTCTTTGCTTAGACTTTCGGGTGGGGGAGGGGGGATGGAGAGAGCAGGGAGTGGCTGAGGAGGATGGGGAGAGGCTAGGGTCTGTACTTGAGGAGAGATGTTTAAGCCGTTTTAGGGAAAATTTTAGCCTGCTCAGGAGGGAGCAAGGCCAGGGACACTGTCCCAGAGAAGGGTGGAGTATTTGGGGAAGAAAAGGAGATGATTTCTTAAGGAATCAGAGGCTCCAGTTTTTGCAGAGGAGCTGGCCAAGACAGAGGCTCCTGGGTCAGTGGTGGGTCTGCAGAGTTTCCATTCCATTCCTTGGGGAGTCAACCAGGAAAGGAGCTGTCTCTGCTGTCAGCTGAGGAAAGGGGCACTTGTTACAGAAAGCCAGGTGCCTCGGGCCTGTTGTTGGCATCTGGGAGGACCTGGACACTGTTTTAGAATGCCACACCACCCCTCATCACCTGGTGCTCTGTGGCTCCATCACCTGCTCAGTCGGGCCCAAGTGGAGACACCCCATTGCCCTCCCTGGCCTGCAGGTGAACGTGCTGGCCCTCAGCATCTGCACACGGGAAGCCTACCAGTCCATGAAGGAGCGGAATGTGGACGATGGGCACATCATTAACATCAATAGGTGAGGGCAGGTGGCTGAGGGCAGAGCTCAGGTCGCCACTCACCCTGCAGGCTGGGTGAGCTGCTGCAGCTCACTTGACCTTTTTGGACCTCAGCTTCCTTGGTGGTAAAATAGGGATTGAATACCCTTGTGGCACAATTAGGGTAAGGGAAAGTTTCATGTCAAATGCCAGTCCCTGGTTGGCTGGAATGGGCAGCTTCGTCTCTTCCTTGTGCAGCTAGAGTCTGGGACCTCTGCTGGGACTGAGCGCCTCCACTCCTCAGACCCTAGCATGAACCCCACTCATAGCTGGCACAAAGGAAAAAAAAGCTATACAGTGTCTGCCTGCCCCCAGAGATCTCCCAGTTGAACCATATTGGTGAACACACAGATGAAATGGAGAGGTTGCTGACATTCTGCATGACCAGGAGAGTACTCTGGTCAACGGAGAGATGCTTTCTAGGAAGAGGAGGGTGTGCAGGAGCTGCTCGATAACAGAAGCTAGATTAGTGGGCTATGGGATGGCACTAGGGGTCCCTTAGAAGGCTTCCCTGTCAGCACTGGGCAGAGGGGTTGACCGGCAGGTACTTATGGCAGGGGCACTGCCTGTCCCTGAAGTTTCATTCTATCTTCTTTCCCCTCCCTCCCTCCACCCAGCATGTCTGGCCACCGAGTGTTACCCCAGTCCGTGACTCATTTCTATAGTGCCACCAAGTATGCCGTCACTGCACTGACAGAGGGACTAAGGCAAGAGCTTCGGGAGGCCCAGACCCACATCCGAGCCACGGTGAGGGTGTGGCCCAGCCTTGATGGGAACAAGTGGGCACAGGTCCGCCTCACCCGCACGCACCACTCAGGAAGCCTATTCTGGGGTGTGCTGCTTAGAGCTCCTGGGACAGAACTGGGGACAGAATTCCTGAGCTTGGTTGCTCCTTGCATGGACCTGCTCAGTCCTTGAGTTTCCTTCTGTCATGGATCTGGGGGCCAATACCCAGACTTAGACTTTGTGGTGGGAGGGGGCTGACTGTGGGTACATGGTGGGCTGAGACTAAGAGAAAGCAAAGAATTGTGGGAAAACAGGTACACAGAGGCTGGAAACTGAGACTCAGGTCTCCCTTGAAGGCTGCATGACCATGGGCAAGCCACTGAATCTCTCTAACCCTCTGTCTTCTCATCTGTAAGATGGAGATGATGATACCTCCTGGCTATGAGATTTTAAGGGACTCCGTTTTGTAAAATGTTTACCTGGCATAGGAAAGGTTCTGTAGATGGTAGGTATCCTTGCCAGCAGTAGCTTTGGAGGGAGGAGGTGGTTGCTGACATTGGGTAGCATCACCGCAAAGCTGGGCCCCTATGGTTTCTGTCCCTTCTCCCCCAACCTCCCCAAGGCCTGGCAAAGCCCAGGCTCTGAGCAGACCCTCTCTATTGGTCCAGTGCATCTCTCCAGGTGTAGTGGAGACACAGTTCGCCTTCAAACTCCATGACAAGGACCCTGAGATGGCAGCTGCCACCTATGAACACATGAAGGTGGGCCCTCCATCTGGACTTGGTGAAGCCACTGACTCCCTAAAGTGAAGGCAGAGGGAGCCCCAGCCTTCAGACTCGACCTCCCTTCTTGCTGCCCTGCCACCCCTCTTGGAGGGTTGGGGTGGGAATGTGTTCCCTGGAGAGGACCTCAGTTGTGGCAGGAAACTTGAGTCCATTCTGTCCTTGTCTCAACCCATTTCCTGGTGCTCACAGTGTCTCAAACCTGAGGATGTGGCCGAGGCTGTCATCTATGTCCTCAGCACCCCACCACATGTCCAGGTGAGTCTGGCCTTGACTGTTTATCCCTGAGAGGAGCCCAACCATCCCCAGAGCAGGGCAGCAAGGAGGACCTAAGGGGGTGGGGAGAGTGTCCTCACTGCCCCAAACCTTGTGCCTTCCGCAGATCGGAGACATCCAGATGAGGCCCACGGAGCAGGTGACCTAGTGATTTATGGGAGCTCCTTTCCTCCCCACCCCTTACCGTGTGGCTCCTGCCTCTGGATTTTAGGTGTTGATTTCTGGACCCCTGGATATCATTTCCTGTCTCCACCCTTGCCAGGGGCTAGAAAATTTGAGATTTTTATATCCTCTTGTCAAATTGTTTCTGTTGCAAATGCAAAAAATGAGCTGAGGAAAGGAAGATGTGTCCCGATTGTTTTACTTGTTAACTTGTTCTTGGTCTCCCTTTCTTGAGCTCTTGGGGCCTTTGTCTGCTCTTCTTGGTCTCTTCCCTTTGACCTGAGAAAAGGGTTGTGGCCCAAAGGAAGAGCTTCTCCCATCTTCTTGCACTCCGATCTCTGCCCCTCAGGGTTAGGGTGCCAGAGAGAGGCCCTCTCCTTATGAGCGAATAGTTAATCCAGGGCTCCATGCTCCCGTCTCTTCCTGCCCTACTGCCCCCCCATCCCAGGTCTTCAGCCCAATTTTGGCTTTTAAGCCCCTGGTGGGGTCACCACCACTCAGACCACAGCAGCAGAATACCAGGGCCTGGCCCAGTGGGTTTCACAGTGATAATTAAAAAAGAAAAATTGCAACCAACTTACCTTGGCTTCCAGAGTGTCTTTTAATTCTTACTCCTCTGTGATCAGGAGTGGTATGTGTCTCAGAATTTCTTCCAGGTGGGTGAATTTGGGGTATCACTCCTGGAGTGTGGATTACCTTAGGTGTAGGAGGAGGTTTGTTGGGTCTTGTTTGCCAAAGACAAACAAGACAAGGAAGAGCAGCGGTGTTGTGGGAACAGCACAGAACCTAAGTGCAGGAGCAACATGGGCTGAAAGGGAGCTCCTGCCTGGATCACTGGGGGGTGGGGGGGTTCTTAGTGCTGAGCACAGTAGTCTGACCATGACCAGTGGGACAAAGGTATCCCTTGGCTTGTCAGCAGGGTCACAATAGGCTCGGAGCTGCCACCTGGAAAATAATCAGCAGAGAGAGAAGGAGTTATTGTTACTGGTGTCCTGCTGACTGGTGATTAAGGGTCAGACAGGGAGAAGCTTCTGGGGAGGATCACTAGCCCCTGGATGTGGGGAGGAAGGCACCAAGACCAAATTGGTTGAGCTGGAAGGCCAACTTATCCCCTTAAAGCAGTGGTCCCCAATATTTTTGGCATCAGGGACCGGTTTCGTGGAAGACATTTTTTCTGCAGACATGGGTGCTAATCATCAGGCGTTAGATTCTTACAAGAAGCGGCCAACCTAGATCCCTCGCAGGCGCAAGAAGTTCCCAGCGCCTATGAGAATCTAATGCCGCTGCTGATTTGACAGGAAACCGAGCTCTCTCGCTCGCTCGACGCTCACCTGCTGTGTGGCCGGGGTTCCTAACAGGCCTCGGACTGGTACCCGCACATGGCCCGGGGGTTGTGGAACCCCGCCCTAAAGTGTCTTGTCGGAGCGCGGGTCAAAGCGGTTGGCCAGCTTCCTCTGCTAGGAGCCCCGCCTCCCGCCCGCCGTGGCGCGGTGGAGGTCGCCGCTCAGTTGTCCTTGCAGGGGGCGCTGTGGGGACGGCCTGGCTGCCCCGCAAGCGCGGAGCCTCGTGGGCAGGGGCGGGGCCCTCCGAGCCCGGAAGCGGGGAGGCCCACGTGGGAACCCGGGAGAGGGCGGTCGCAGCTGGGCTGCTCTGTTGTGGGCAACTTCCCAGCTGGTAGTCGGGACTTCGTTCCTGGCTGAGAGAGCCGGGTGGGGGCAGCCGTCGTGTCCCCTTCACCCGGTGTTGGGGGCCTGGGAGCGGGCCCCGCAACAGCGGGCACGAGTCCCCGGCAGGGCCTGTGCCATGGGACTGCTCTTGACCGTCAGGGGAGCGACCGGGTGTTGCTCAGGTCGCCTCGTCACCCGTCATTTCTCCCAAGCAGCGCGGCCTGGGGAGCGGCCCGGCGGGGAGGAGCTAAGTCGCCTGCGGCTGGATGACCTGGCACCGACCCCGCGGCCGGAGCTTCTGTTTGGCCTGTCCCCGTGTCTCCTGGCTCTGCGGGCCGCCCGCCGCCGCGTGGCCCGGCTCCTGCTCCAGGCAGGTAGGGCTGGGCTGCAGGGCGAGCGGGCCGAGCTGCTCCGAGTGGCCGAGGCGCGGGGCATTCCGGTTCTGCGGCCCAGACGGCAGAAACTGGACGCCCTGTGCGGCTACCAGGTCCACCAGGGCATCTGCATGGAGGTGAGCCCGCTGCGGCCCCGGCCCTTGCCTGAAGCCGGGGAAGCGAGTACAGGCGACAATCCCCAGCAGCTGTGGCTCGTCCTCGAGGGGCTCCAGGATCCCCGGAATCTTGGGGCTGTGCTGCGCTCCGCTCACTTCCTCGGAGTGGATAAGGTCATCACCAGCCGGAGAAACAGGCACGGACGTCCCTTATTCTCCATGTGCCCCAACGAGTTCTTAAGCACCTTGACCCTTGGGTGATCCCTCAGCCCGCCTTCCCTAACGCCAGAACTCTCCGGGGGAGGGAAGGGCACCAGACTTGAGATGGCCTAGCCTAATGCGGGGTATGGGGAAACTTTTCAGCTGCCCGCTCACTCCAGTAGTCAGCAAGGCCAGCGCGGGGACTGTGGAGGTGATGGATGTGTTCTCCACTGATGACCTGACCGGTTTTTTACAGGTAACCAGGGCCAAGAGGGGAAGGCACAGAAATGAACTTAGCTCAGGCACTTCAAGGGCACTCAGCCAGCAGGTGATGGGGGAGAGAAGGGGACATGTTGGGATCGGCCTTCTGAATCCTTCTGGGGAGGGAAGGGTGCTGGAGATTTTAAAACCGTAAATGGAGCACTCACTGAAGTCACGGACTTCCTAGTGTCATTCCCTTTACTGCGCTCCTAACCTAGGCATACACCTCTTTGCTCCTTCTGTAAGTCTACCTGAGTGTCTCTTTGTCTACTAAGTTGGTGTTCAGTAAATGCTTGCTGTTTTGCTGTGGGCAACTGGTGAACAGGAGACCTGGATTCCTCGAATAGGGGCACAGTTTGAAAGGATCTTTGAACAGGGAGACCTGTCTGTCATTAGGAAATCCCTTTCCTGGTCCGTGTCGGTCGTCTGCTGTGCTTCCCTTGCCGGACACAAGGGAGCAGTATTGCCCTGCATTTGGCAGGCCCTCTGATCACCCCTACCCCCTCCACCCACGTCCCCACTTCTTTTGGGTAGTGAGAAATGCCCCCCTTAAGAAGAAGCGTGGAGAGCTCTGGGCCTTGGCTAGAACAATGCTGTCCCATAAAAATAGAGTGTGAGTCATATGTACTTTTATTTATTTATTTATTTATTTATTTTTGGTTTTTTTGAATTGGAGTCTCACTCTGTCGCCCAGACTGGAGTGCAGTGGCCACTCCCGGCCACCGCAGCCTCGACCTGCAGGGCTCCGGCGATCCTTCCGCCTCAGCCTTCCAAGTAGCCGGAATTACAGGCATGCGCTACCATGCCCAGCTGATTTTTTAATTTATTGTAGAGATGAAGTCTCGCTGCCCAGGTGGGTCACGAACGTATGTACTTTTAGATTCTTCTTGTAGCCACGTTGAAAGAGCGATGAAATTACATTAATGTTAATCCGTTTTCCCTGTGTATTCAAAACCTTATCATTTCAACATACAATCATTTTAAATATTAATGAAATATTTTACATTTCTTTTAAAAATTTTACAGGTGGCACATCTCAGTTTGGACTAGCTACATTTCACTTGCTTAATAGTCATGTGTAGCTAGTGGCTACCATACTGAACAACTCATGTGTAGAAGCATTTTCTGACTTTTTCTTCTCATAGGGAGGCCTCTTCAGAGGAACTGTGGCCAAGTCTGATAAGGGTACCCTCCCGTCACTTGCAGCCCTTGAACAGGTAGCTCCTGAACACACAAAAACACTGCAGAGCATTTGCTTAAACTCCAGCCATCACGTCTCCCTGCTCCCATCAGCCTTGGTCTGGGGAGTAGCTTACTGCCTGTTACTATGGAAGAACTGGAGGTGCCCCAAGCTGAGGCCTGTGCTAGACTCATCCCTTCCTGCTCATCTAAGGACTCTGCTTAGCAATTTCCCTCCTCTCTCTGGCATCATTCGTTTTTCCCTTTCACTCTCATCAGCATGCAGACACATTCCCCTCCCATTCTCTCTTGGTCTTATGCCAGTCAGACCCTCCTCCTGCACTGAATCAAAGCCCTTGTCGAGGTCATCAGTGTCCTCCATGTTGCTGCCTCCAAGGGTCCTGGTCTCCATCCCCATATGACTTCACCCACCCACAGCATCTGACACAGGTGACCACTCCTTCCTCCTCGAATCACTCCTCACCTGGCTTTCCTGCTGTGCCCTCTCTCAGGATTGTCTTTGGTGTTTCCTCCTCAACCGCTGACCCCCAAGCATTAACGTTACCCAGGTCTCAGTCCTTAGATCTCTTTCCTGTATATTTTCGCTTGTTGGTCTCTTGTAATCTCATGACTTGAAATACCATCTGTGTTCGAATGCCTCCTAAATTCATGTCTCAGCCTGGATCTTTCTTCTGAACTCCAGATTCTCTCATCTAGTTGCCCACTCCACGGTTCTTTTTTTGCTGTCTAGTGGGCATTTTAAAGTTAGCATTTCCAAAACTGAGCACCTGTTCCTTCTGGAGATGTATGCAGCTCAATCATTGGCAACTCCATCCCTTCAGTTGTTTAGGCCAAAACCCTTACCATCATCCATGATTTAAGTAGTTTCTGTATCCTCACCAGTTCCCATCCTCTCCACTGCTACCACTCTGGTCCAAGCCACCATCATCTCTTGACTGTATTACAGAAACTTCCTCACTTCTTACTTCTGCTGTTGGCTCTCAGCACAGCAGGCAGAATTATTCTGTTGACGTTTGACCATGTTACTTCTCAAAACCTTTCAAAGTCAGCCGGGCATAGTGGCATGCACCTATAGTCCCAGCTACTTGGGTGGCTGAGGCAGGAGGATCACTTAAGCACCATAGTGAGACCTCGGCACAAAAACAACATAGCTGGGCAACATAGTGAGACCCTCAACTGAAAAACAGCAACAAAACAACAGTTTGAAGCCTTTGCATCTTTCTGAGTAAAGCCAAAGTCCTCCCCGTAGCCTTTAAGGTCCCACCTCAAGTGGCCATTGTTTCCTCTCCTGTCTCCTTGCCAACTCCTTTCCCACTGGCCACCTTACGTCCTCAAACGTGACAGGTAAGCACCCACCTTTGGGTCTTTGTACTTGCTAATCTTTCTGCCTGCAATATTCTTCCCCTTGGTGTGTGTATAGCGGGGTGGGGGGGAAGATGCCTTTCCTTTGGGTCTGTACCCAGATGTCACCTCAGTGAGTCCTGGCCCATCCACCCTTTCACAAGCCTGGGATTTTGGTCTCTTTTGTTCACTATTCTATCCCAGTGCCTAGAACAGAGCCTGACCTGGTTTAGGTGCTTAATAATAACAATTGACTAAATTAACTGGATCAGCAACTGGATCACCAATATATGGGCAAGGCTGGGCTTCTCCATGGCCAGGCCTCTGATGATTTGATGAGCTAGAATGTGATTTCTTCCTCTTTCCCTTTTTAGGCCAAAGCCCAGCAGGGCTGGCTTGTGGCCGGCTCAGTGGGCTGCCTGAGACCTGAGACAACCCCATCCTCCAAGGTCCCTGTCACCAGTTGCTTGGAGTTCCTCTGGGACCGGCCTACTCTCCTGGTGCTGGGTAGGTAACTGTCCCTGCTTTTCTGTACTCAGATGTTCCTTTCCTAAGCACTTGGTGTCCATCTGGGGCCCCCTAAGCCTCTGCCTCGTGCCCTGCAGGGAATGAGGGCTCTGGTCTGTCCCAGGAGGTGCAGGCCTCCTGCCAGCTTCTCCTCACCATCCTGCCTGGACGCCAACTGCCTCCTGGACTTGAGTCCTTGAATGTCTCTGTGGCTGCAGGTGAGTCCACTCCCTACTTCCTTCCTGCTCTCTCTCTAATCCCATTTGCTGGCGATTTCTTTCTTTCTTTCTCTCTCTCTCTCTCTCTCTCTCTCTTTCTTTCTTTCTTTCTTTTTTGAGTCGGAGCCTCATTCTGTCTGTCATCCAGGCTGGTGGGCACTAGCACGCTCACATCCACTACAGCCTCGACCTGCTGGGCTCAGGCCTCAGCCTTCCAAGTAGCTATAACTACAGGCACATGCCACCACGCCCAGCTAATATTTTGATTTATTGTGGAGACGAGGGCTTGCCATGTTGCCCAGGCTGGTGGTCCTGAACCTGTGGGCTCAGGCAGTCCTCTTGCCTCCACCTCCCATGGTGCTGGGATTACAGGTCTGAGCTACCACTTCTGACCTGCTGGTGATTGCATCCTAAACAAGTTATTCCTTTCTATGCCTCAGTTGTTTTATGTGCAAGATGGGGAAAATGCATCCTGTCAGGATGAAATGAGAGCATGCCTGGCATGTGTCGAGGGCTCTGTCCATGGTCCTTCCCTTGTCCTTCTGTCTGTCTGTACAGGAATCCTCCTCCACTCCATCTGCAGCCAGAGGAAGGATTTCCCTGCAACGGAGAAGAGAGGGCAACTTCCCCAAGACCCCCAGGAACCCTCAGTCAGGTCTGAAGGACTCAATGTGGCTCAGCACCCAGGACTGTCCTCAAGATCGGGAAACGAGAGGCAAGATGGGCTGGCGTGACTGTCCTCGATGCACCTGTGCTGGAGTCAGGGTGGCTGCACACACGTCGCAAATCCCAAGTGCGGGGATCTATGCCTGAGTGTGCCCCCAGACCCCTGGACATTGACCACAGTCTGTGGGAACAAGGGACTTCGCGGTGGAGACTAGAGTACATTCAGTTTCCTGTTTTGATTTGGCCAGGTGATTGGAGTTGGTAGTTTGTTAACTTCTGTGATGGGCTAGGATGGTTAGAGTCTGTCTTCCCCAGCCCTGCCTGGAAGTAGAGGGCAAATCTAGACCATGGAAGGGAAGCAGGCCGCCCCAACAAGAGGTCCTGTTCCTCTTTACTGGCTGTTGCACTTGGCGAATCTGAACGTGAGAATGTAGGGTGCAGACCCTGCCCGCCTGCAGCCTTCAGCACAGTCGTTTTTATATGCCTGGAACCCTTATCTGCACCTGCCTCACAGGGTTATCGTGGGATCAGATAAAACATCACGTCATGTCGAAGAAAAGCTGTAAGCAAACATTGAACTTGAATCAGTAGGCATGCTTTTCCCACTTCTTTTTGTTATGAATTCTGAAACTCTGTGTATTCTGGGACCAAGTAGATGTATAAATATCTAGTGAATAACAGAAGCCACGGGTCTCCCTATTCACAGAGAGAGTAAATGGAGAGATAATCAGGAGACAGAATTATAGTGTGCCCCACCTCCCGTGCCATGGTTTAGACTTGCAGGTATCAGCATGAACTCTTGGACTTCATACTGGTGCCTAAAACAAGAAAAAATAGAACTATAAATGGTTGTAAATGTGTGCTTGTTTTTAATTCTCTGCTGTGAATGCTGAATTTGTCTAGAAACAATAAACAAGCAGAAACAATGGGGAAACAAGCACCTATCTAGCCGGCACTCGACAAATGGGTGCTTCGGCCCAAGTACTCCACTAGGTGGCAGCCTTGCTCTTTGGTTCAGTCTGTGCAGTCACCTGGGGGAAACGCTGGGAGCGAAAATTAGCAAACACCTCCCCGCCTCGGTGACTCCTCAGGCAGTCCATCTCCGGGAGGAACTGAGGACGGACTTGCAGCCGACTGTACAACCTAGAGCTATTTGGTACTCCCCCCAGGTCCTCACCTGGAGTGGAAGCCGCCAGTGTAAGTAACGTGGAACTGCTGTTCTGAGTCTTGGTAGCACATCGGAACTACTTCTTTTGTTAAAAAACAAAAGAAGGCAGCCGGGCTCGGTGGCTCAGCCTGTAATCCCGCGCCTTTGGGAGGCTGAGGTGAGTGGATTGCCTGAGCCCGCGGGTTCGAGACCCGCCTGGGCAGCGAGACCTCATCTCTACAATAAATCAAAAAATCAGCCGGGCGTGGTAGTGCATGCCTGTAATTCCGGCTACTCGGAAGGCTGAGGCGGAAGGATCGCCGGAGCCCAGCGGGTCGAGGCTGCGGTGGCCGGGAGCGGCCACTGCACTCCAGTCTGGGCGACAGAGTGAGACTCCAACTCAAAAAAAAACAAAAAAACAAAAGAAGCCAACACTACTATCAGAGGGTCTGATACAGTGGGGGAGGGGGTAATCAGGGCACCGGGCTTCCGGCAGCTCCACAGGGGGTTCTGGTGTGCAGCCAAGGCCGAAAGCCACCAGGGCAGGGCGTCTGGAGCTCCGCACGTTGCCGTTTGGGGCCTGATGATTCTTGGCTGTGAGAGCTGTCCTGTGCATTGGAGGGTGTTGAGCAGCACTATCTGCCACTAGATGCCAGTAGCACTCCAGTTAGGCGACAAAATGTCTCCAGACTTTGGCAGATGGCGCTTGGGAAACACAGTCACGTCCCCAGTCCCCAGAGCGTGTCCTGGGAGGACAGCGACTCCTAGGTTGTATTCCTGACCGCTGTGCGACCTTGGGTAAGTGCTGTACCCACCTGGGCCTCAGTCTCCTCCTCTGTGAAAGGGGAGTAATCCTGCCTTCTTGCTTGCTGGGAGTGTGGAGACAGCAATAGGAACTCTGTGCCCCACACAGAGTAGGTGCTCAGTAAATAGTAACGCCCTCTTCTGTGGTGTTCATCTGGAATGAATTCATCTTGGAATTCTAATGGGGATGCCAACTAGAACATCTGAATTTAAGAAAAGGTTTAAGGTCTTTTTAAAGTCAAAGTTTTTCCTCTCAAGAAAGGGGACAAAACCTCTCATAAACTCCATAATCACCACGAGCATCTCTCTCCCTTGAGCTCCCTGTCCCCAACTGTCACCCAGGCTCTGACCTCGGTTGGCAAGGATCAGCCTGGGCCACACTACCCTGCCTCGCCCATCCCGGCTTCGTTCTCAGCCAAGAGCCCAGTGTTGTGATTTTTAACTTTGGCTGTACCTTAGAGTCGTAGGGTCAGGGAAGGGGATAGTTTTTAATATTCCAGATGCCCAGAGGCACCAGCTTGATTAAATCAGAGTCTCTGGGGAAGGAGCATGTATCAGTGCTTATCAAAGCTCCCGGGTAGACCTCGTTGTGCAGCTTAGTTCAAGAATCACTGGACACTGGACACAAGAAGTCACTGTTCATGTCCAAGAAACTACTTCGTGTCCACATCTGTGTTTTTTAGTTCATGCCTGAAGATTTAGGCCAGGGTGGTCTTTCATCTGTCCCTAAGTTTCTTCAGAAGATGCTCATTCCAGCCAGGCTCCATGGCTTCCTTCCGTGGCTTCCCAGTCCCATCTATAAAACAGGGAGAGTACCATTAACACCAGCTCGCTCTACTCCTTCCCAACAGAGAAGTTATCAAAATAAAATAAGAGAGTATCAGTAAAAAATGTTCTGTAAATTAAAAGACTAGCACACATTCATAAGGAACCTTGATGTGATGGTTAATTTTGTGTAACAGAGCCAGGCTCGGTGGCTCAGCCTGTAATCTCACGCCTTTGGGAGGCTGAGGTGAGTGGATTGCCTGAGCCTGTGGGTTCGAGACCCGTCTGGGCAACTTGGTGAGACCTCATCTCTACAATAAATCAGAAAATTAGCCAGGCATGGTAGCACTCGCCTGTAGTTCCAGCTACTTGGAAGGCTGAGGCAGAAGGATCGCCAGAGTCCAGCAGGTGGAGGCTGCAGTGACTGGGAGCGGCCACTGCACTCCAGTTTGGGAGACAGAGTGAGACTCCAACTCAATAAAAAAAAAAAATTTATGTAACAGCTTCACTGGGCCATGGGGTGCCCAGATATTTGGTCAGACATTCTGGATGTTTCTATGAGGGTGTTTTGGAAGAGATTAGCATTCAAATTGGTAGACTGAGTTAGGCAGATTGCCTTTCCTAACGTGGGTAGGACTCATCCAGTCAGTTGGGGGCCTGAATAGAACAAAAGACTGACCCTCCCCCAAATAAAAGATTTCTTTCTGCCTTCAGACTTGCACTGAAGTATCAGCTCTTCTCTGGTCTCAAGAATGCTGAGCTTTGGATTGGAAAAAAACCATCGACTCTTCTGGGTGTCCAGATTGCCAGCTCACCCTGAGGATGATAAGAATTGCCCGCCTCCATAATTACATGAGCCAGTTCCTTACAGTCTCTTTAACACACACACACACAATTGGTTCTATTTCTCTGGCGAAACCTAATACGCTTAATAAAAACAAATGCTGGTGTTCCGGAGCTCCCTCCATGTAGGGGTGCAGAATTGAGCACTGCTCCCTAGGACCAAGCCCAACATGGAGCTCAGAAACTGAGGTGGGGGTACTCAGAAGCCAGCACCCCCTCTCCTGCCCACAGACTTCTGTGGTAATTGGAGCCCTATCTGACCTGCCCCGGATGTGCTGTTCATCAGCTTTATGTGTCCCAGTGATCTGAGCCATCTAGAAAGGCCACTCTCCTGGGTTTACAGCTGCACCCCCCGGGCAGCAGGCTGCTGACCTTTGGGAAGACAGTCACTTGAGCCAAAGGGGGTTGAGGCTGTCAATTGCCTTCCATGCACACCCAGGTACCGAGTTATATCCCAGGCAGTCCTGTCCCAAAGAGGAAGGGCCTGAGGGCCAAAGGATGAGGTCTGATTCTCCCTTGAGTGGCCTCTGGTACCTGGTTCCATGCTTGACATATAGACACTGCTCAGCAAATGTGGGTAAAGTACACAGGAGCTGGAGAGGCCGTGGCTGTGGGTATAAAGGGGTGGGACAGGGATCCATAGCCTGCAGGGCAGAATTGGGGTGAAACCAGAAGAGAGAGCAGTGATGGTTAAGAGCAGGACCCCGGCTGCTAAACCGTGCTTGCGGTTCACTTCCGAAATCCCAGTACTTTGGGAGGCCAAGGTGGGAGGATTGTTTGAGTCCAAGGGTTCGAGACCAGCCTGAGGAATATAGCAAGACTTCCACCCATGTGTGTATATATATATGTATGTATGTGTGTATATATGTGTGTGTAGTATATATATGCAAACTTTTTAAAAAGTGCTTGCTTCGAGTTCCAACTCTGTGACTTGCTAGTAGTGTAGATGTGTACATGTCCCTTAAATTTCAAGCCTCAGTTTTCATCATCTATACAATGGGGATAGTGATGGTATTCACTTCAGAAGAAGGTAGCTGGGATTAAGAGACCACACATGTGAAGCCCTCAGCCCCACACCTAGAGAAGGGTAGTAATCATTCCTCAGAGCCTCTGGGGGCAGACCTAGAGGTCAGAGCACTAGGCTGTGCTCTCTGACCAATCTGACCTCAGTTTTCCTGTAGGCTCTTGGGGGAGCCTTTCAGCTGCAGCACACAATGATTTACCCCTGAGAACTGCTGGAGGGAGTTGGGAGTGGGAGTTGAAGTGACATCTGCAGGATCCCCCTTTGTCAGGCTCCCCAGCCAAGAGGGGAAGGGGCCCAAGAAGAATCGGCGCTGACTTGGTATTCCCAGAGCGGCTGAGTCAAGCCCAGCACCCTGACCCCTGCTCCAAGCCTGGAACTTTTTGGCAGGAGGCTAAATTGTTAAACCCTTCTCCCCCCAGGCTGGGGTCCTAAATTAGACACCCCCCCCCACCGCCACTCCTGTGGGGCCAGGTGCCAGGAATCCCCACAGTTTGTAAATGTAATCAACCTTGAGGTCGCTGGCTTCCACAGGTGCAATTAGCATGCCCATCTGCTAATCCCTGATTAATGGTGTTTACAAACATGGGACTCCACTCACAGAGCTGCTCATCCCCTCCCTCCTGGGGCTGGGAGGTGGGGGGG